GATATTTCATGATCCCCTTCTTCTACTCTCTCTCTCTCTCTCTCTAGCTAATCCTTTTTTCCCGTTCTTCCTCACCAGCCACCGCCAATCTTGCCAGCGAGCTGCACCACGCGCTCCGTGTCGGTCGTCTTGTCCTTGCCGACGTCGCTGACGACCTCGCGGTACGTCGTGAAGACCAATCTATCCAAGTCTACGCCCGTAATGCCAGACCAATGCGCCAGGGTATCTCGAATGTGCGAAGGGGAAATGCCGTCCACCAAGTCCTGCCGCGGCACGTCGCAGCCGGAAACGACGTCCCTGTCGTCCGCTTCCTCGGCGGAAAAGTAGGCCTCGTCCACCTCTGCCAGCCACTGCTTCTGCTCCTGCGGGCCGGGCTTGATCGCCAGGCCCTTGCGCTCGACGACGATCGGGTCGTCAATCTTGATCTGGCCGCCGCCGTTGGTGCACCCGCCGGGGCAGGCCATGACCTCGACGAACGTGTACTCGAGCCCCGCCGTCTTGCCGGTCGGTCGCCTGGCGCTGCCGAAGGGTTTCCCGCCGGGCATGCGCGATGGGCGGGCGGGCTTGAGCTTGCGCACCAGGTTCTGGATGTTGCGGAACCCGTAGAACCGGGCCGCCTTGAAAATTGGTTCGCCTGCCCCGCTGGCGACGATGTATTCGGTCACGTCGGCGTTCCGTCCTCGAATCACCTGGATCTGAGAGCCAGGGTTCTTGGACACAACGCTCTGCAGCGTAAAGTATAGGTTGCCGCCCGATGACCCCGCAATGGGTTTGTCTCGGTGTGCAGGTTGCGGCGGGAAGAGGAAGCGATCGAGCTGCGGGTCGGGGAACAGCTGTCTCGTAAGTGAGGGGTTGGTACGGGCCAGGCTGAAGAAGTCGAAGCCGCGCGAGTCGGCGAGCATGAGGACCTCTTTGCTGGTAATGACGCAGTCCACGTCGCGGATGCCGCGGCCAGGCTTGCCGTCGCCCGCCCATACAGAGTCTGTGAGCTCCTCGCGACTAGCCTCCAACTTTTTGTCAAAGCACGGCATGACTGCCAGGTGCCATATGCGGCTCGGTGGAATGTTGAGTTTTCGGCTGAGCGTCGTCTTGAGCAATGTGCCCATGAGGGCCTGCGGCGACTTGACCTTGGAGATGTGAGGGAGCACGTGCGGGTGCGTCTTCTCGGCGTAGCAGACCCAGCCGGGGCAGTTTGAGGTGAGTGTAGGCTTGGGGTCGGAGGATGCGGCCGCCTTGTCGGTGCCCAGGACCTCGTCGGCGCCGAGCACGAGGCACGCCTCGCGCGCGACGTTCGTGTCGAGGACCCAGGTGAAGCCGTTGTTGTGCTGACCTGCGGATGCCAGGCCCTCGGGCCCGCGCAGCAGCCTCTCCAGCATGTGGCCCGCCTCCTGCTCGGTGGTGCCGCTGCCGGCGGCGGCGGCGAGGCTGGCTCTCGTCTGCGGCGAGACGCTCGCTACGAAGAGCTTGCGTGACTCATCCTCGAGGCCGTCGACGCGGAACTGGCCCTTTTCGTCGGGGCCAACGATGCGCAGCGAGGGGCCAAAGTCGAGCGTATTGAGAACTTCGGTGTGGCTCTGTAGGCTGACGAGCACGGCCTCGGCCGAGGTGACACAGCCGGAGCAGGCGAGGCAGTCGGTCAGGGAGATTTCGGCGGGCGCGTTGGGCTTCAGGCCCGACGAGGCGGGGCCGCCGGGCTGGCCGTCGAGGATGACCTCGTGCTCGAGCGAGCCGTCGGCGGGCGGTGGCGGGGCCGCGGGCAGGGTCTCGACTGGTTTGATGCAGGCGACGCCGGGACTGATAAAGTCGTTGAGGTCGTCGGCGGACAGAATGGCGCTCATTGTTGCGTGTCGATTGTCGCGGCGTGGTGTCGTATGTAGGAGGAGGAGAAGAAGGAAGGTGTGTTTTCGAAGGGACGGAGTTTGGCTAGGAAAGAGTCCCTCTCGATGCGACTGGGAGGCTGAGGAAGGAATGCACAGGTATCGATGTACCTCTTTGGTTTCAGAGTCAAAAGGGAAAGATGGACGCGCCGGTGACCGGACTGGTGGTTCCGCCGCTGCGTGTCGATAGCGTTGACCGTCCGGAGATGCGAAATGAAATGGTCGGTTGGCGACTGATTGGAAATCCGCCACGCACCAGTGGACTTTGTCAGGACTTCTTGGGGGGTTACCCGGAACGGTATCGGCCCTCAGACATCGACTCGGGCTACAAGTGGCCAGGCGTCGCAAATGTCTGGCGGCTCTGTTTGGCGTGTGGCTTTGTACCCCCAATCTGATCGAATTTGCCATCCACTGCTGGCCCGTACAATGGAATACAATTCCTGTTGTGCTAGCTGAGAGCCGAGACAGCAGTGACTCGTTTCCCCTCGTGTCAGGATTGAGCGGAGCGTTTCTGGGCTTGAGGCGAAAGGGTATGATGAGGGGCATCATCAGAGGCCGAAAAGGCCGAAAATGGAGAGACAATTGGCCACTGGTAGTGGGGTGACTGGTGGGGCACAGGGTGTAAAGGGTCTACTGCTTTGCACTTTGCACCCCTTCCCTTCCACTAGACCCCTTCTGACTGCATGTGGGAAACGCCTTCCCCGTTGAACCAGTCGATCACTTCATCGTCGTACACAATCTCCCCAACAATAAAGTGCAAGAACCATGCGTTGCACTGCATGGGAGGTGTCTCGGTCATGGAACACTCTTTCTTTCGGAGCTTCTCATACCTACTATTCCTGACCTACTTTACTAGCAAGATGCTGTAGTCAGGCCATCATGTTCACTCTGCGCGAACTGACCTCTACCTAGGTAGTAGGTAAAGCAGGCAGGTAGACAGTTCCTCACAACAAGCAATTGGTTTCCTCGTTGACAAGAGTCAAAATTAGGTCATTATTCTATACGGACCACAAATCCCGTGTATCATTCATCATCCTTATTCGGGATTCTTCGACTCCCAAATCAAGGTCGCTCAGCGTACAGCTTGACAGCATCGCAACCCCACGATGGATGGGGAACACCGCCAATCTGCAGCACATAGCCCATCCACGCGTTGCAGTAGTACCAGTCCCTCTGGCCCTGGAAATCGCACCTGAGCTCCCAGTCCGCCTCCGCGATGGAGCAGGTCACGGGAAGGAGATTGTCGCTTTGGCGCCGCGCCGCGCCGGCGTTGAAGACGGCGCCAAAGGCCCCCGCGCCCCTCGACACAAGCAGCTGGCCGAGTTGCGGGTGCTGCTCGACGAACAGGGAGTTGTCGGCGGGGGAGCTGAGGCTGAAGACGGTGGCTTGTCCGCGGCTGCCGAAGCTCTCTGGAGAATGGCGGATCAGTATTCTGTTCGTTCCAGAAAAGAACGTATCGTGGAGAAGAGAGAAAGGGAGGTGAGTACGTACGGACGAGCGACGCAACGTTGCTCTCAAACTGCCACGAGTAGGCGAATTGGCCGTTGGCCCGGCCGCCAACCGCACGGAGAATCTGGGTCGTTCTGTTAGTTCTTTTATTCGCGACTTCTCGGACCAAGTGCCGTCAACGTACAAAGCGGTCCCAGGGGCGGGGCTGCACGACCGCGGTGGCGACTGCGGTTGCCGTGCGGGACTCGGTGTTCGTGACAGTCGTAGGCGCGACACTCGTCACCGTCTCGATGACGCCGACCGTCACCTGCGCGGTCACGGTCGAAGTGGACGTGACCTTGACGGTGGGCGTGGCCACGGTGATGGTCGCCGGGCTGATGCCGATGCAGGAGCAGGCGGATGAGTAGGCCTCGGTGCTGCGGCAGGCGGTGGCGTACGTGGGCATGGCCGAGGGGACCTCCGTCACTTGGCGCTTCTCCTGGTTCTCGCCATCCTCACGCTTGCGTGCGGGCACAGCGGTGATGGTCGTCGTTAGCGTCTGGGTGGTGACGTCGACAGTGTCGACGACGGTGACGGTGGTCACCTGTATGGCAACATCGGTGCTGAAGCTCGTGGCCGTCTCGGTGGTGGGCGTAACAGTCTCCCAAATGGTCTCGGTGCTGGACTCGACATTAATATTCTCTCCAGAAAGAAAAAGCCGCATGGCGAGCGGGTATTCATACTAGGTGGCGGGCGTCACTGTCTTGCGGAGAAAGGACGAGCAGTCGGCGACGGCAGGACGGTTGGGGAAAGAGCCAGCAATAACCTTTGGAAGCGTTAGTGAACAGTCCTCCGAGACAACCTGACCATGATGAATCTTACAGCACGCAAGCAGTTGTTGTGCGAGCACTTGACCGTCGTGGCCGCCTGGGGCATGGCCTGGACAGTGCCGAGCAAGAGCCCCATGGCCAGGGGAACGGTAGACGCAGAGTACTTCATGTTGTCGGTATTTCGATCTCGGTCGAGGTGTTGTGGTGAGGATCAGGAGCGGTGCTGGGCCAAGGACGGCAGCCCAAGACTCGATGCCTTCAGTCCGCTTTATACATTCCCATCCTGTCGTTTCCTCGCCGATATCTGCGAGCAACCGAGGATCATGGCCACGATGTCCCTGTAGCGCGCCGAATATTGGAATTGCGGAGTCTCGGGCGCCCCGAATGCGGTCAGCTGGATGCCCATGACAGCTGCGAGGCCTCGTCGGTTAATTCTTCGTGGCATATGGCCCTTCTCAACCTGGTGTTGAACGTGCTGTGGCGTCCCTGACCACGAGGCCGCCTTTCCCCAAGAAGCATGCCAAGGTCGGACGGCGCGTGCTCAACCCCTGTCACGAACCTGACTAGTGGTTTTTCCCCTTACCCCACCGCCTCGTTTGATGCCAATCGCGAAGCCCTGCAAGGGTACGAGCTGAAAGGCCAGATGCCCATGGGCCTCGATAGCACACTTGGTAACCATATTTCTGCTCAGCTTGATGGCTCGATGCGGTTCCGCAGGCCGCCGAACCCGTTGCGTGGGTGCGGGACAAAGCGTTGAAGGGCATGGCGTTCGGGCGGGCGGCGCCCTCCCGCCTGTCTGAAGCCATGTGGCTGGACCTTTTTTTGGCAGGCGATGGGTCTATCTCCCGAGAGCAAGGACCTAAACTGTGACCATCTTTGCGCGTTGGCATTGTTTGTTGCCATGGTCTGGAAGCTGCTGGGGAGAATCACGCGTTCTGCTGCTCAAGGTATGCAACAGGGGCCTAGTGGCATCGAGCTGTGGAGATCAACATCACGAGCGGTTCGCACAGGTTTATGTATCACCATCAGACAGACGGAGCACAGCTGAGTAAATCAAATCGTTCGTATGATTCTTGATGTTAGGGTTAGTGGTAGGGGACCTTGTCCTTCATCAAAGCCCGTGATATTCCGTTGCGGTCTTATAAAGCCAGAACTCCTGTCGGACGCATATCATCAACCTCTTGCGCCTAAGCAAACGACCAATTCGTAGAAAGGACCAATGAGACACAGATAGCGTGCATTTCACGGCCCTAGCCACCGTTGGCAAGCCCTACCATCGATCTAGGCACGCAGCCCGTCAGCCATAGCCGCGCTGGTCTCGCGGCACCAGCACGGGCATCGACGTGGCTGACGCCCCGTTGTCAACAATGCCTGGGGAGTAAGATGGGTGCTACATGTTCATAGCTTTGAAACGGTTGATGTTGAGTCTGAGCGAGACCGTTGAGTAGGCTAGGAATTAGCTTTAACAAAGGAAGACCCCGAGTCATGGTGCAAGACAGAGCCACGAGAGCCGACTTGGAGAAAAACAAACCCATCGACGCTGGCTCGCCTTCGTTGACCAAAGTCGGCATTAAATCACCACTGTGATTGCCTGTCTTGTCTGGCCATCTCGTAGCCCAGACACCATGGCCGCATTGACAAGCGTACATGTGCGAATCCTTGGAGCCCGACGGTGAAATACGCCGCTTACCAGTGTCCGGAGAAAGTGAGATACAGTAGATATAAGATTCCGGAGACCGCCCTTGGCGATGACGGTCCGTTCGTACGCCGCTTGCAGCCCATCAAACTCGACGGTCTGCGTACCGGCACCTGCGTGGACGTGACCAAATACATGCAACCGAGGGCGCACTCGCCAGAGTTCTCGCAGGAGGTGGTTGCATCCCAGATGCAAAAGGTCGCAATGGCTTCGCGGCGGGCCGTGGGTGACAAGGACGTCGGTTCCATCAGGGATCGCGCCGTGCCAGACGTCATCGGCCCGAGGGTACTGGAAGGCCCAGTTGCCTTGTCGCGGGGAGAGAGGGCTCCCGTAGATCCGGAGGCGACGCCCATTTGCGCACGTCACGTCGACGTGCTGGTTTTCGAGATGGATGATTCCTTTCCAAGCAAGAGAGGCTCGAAGCGCCTCTGGTGACCTGGAGGGATCGGCGGTAGACCTGGATCTGTTCCCAGTGGCGTCCTGCTTGGCGTCAAGGAGGATATCGTGGTTGCCTGCGACGACAATCTTGATGGGATGTGGCTGGGAGGAAAGCCAGTCTATGGCAGCGACGAGTTCGTCGAACGTGCCCGACTGGGTCATGTCACCAGCATGGATGAGAATTTCTCCTTCTGGGAGGCGAGGCTGGGTGTTGTGAGTATCCGAGATGCAGACAACAGAGATAGGTGGTGATGAGGTTGGGGAAGTGCTGGGTTGTGGCCGGATCGCACGCCAAGAGTACAACTTGTGGGCGACAAAGACGCACGGCTGTTGTATGAAATCCTCCCAGGCACTCGGCTGCGGACGGTGGAAGAGGCCCTCAATGCCGGTTATACTCGAGAAAATGGACATCTCGAGGGTTTGAGATTCAAAATGGCAGGTGAAATCGGAGTGCTGATGGTGTCGTGTCGTGAAGCTGGACGCAAGGCGGCTTCTCCTGTTGTTCGCGAGGTGCAAAGGGCGGAAAGGTAGGCCATTCTTATACTGTACTCTCATAGCCTTCAAGGTGCTGAAGCTCAGAAGTGCACGTGTCTTTTGTAAATGACTGGTTCACTCACTTCAAATCCAGGAAACGGAGGCTTCTCTGCGCCTCCTGGGCTGAATGCCAGTCAGGTAGGCACCTCTGTGAGTGAAGTACTGCGAAAGTGGCTTGACGCTGCGTGTTAGGATTGCAAACCGGCGGAAAGTTGGTGACAACCTAGGCAGATTGGCTGGGAACGCATTTCATTTCGTTGGATGATTTGGGAAGGGAGCTGATGACTGAGTCCACGTCCACGTAATGAAGAGCAGGCAACAAACAGTGTCGGGCCTTTGATGATGATAACACGTCAACTGCTTCGCAAATGAGTCGACCCTCCTGATTGTCAAATAGTCCACGAATGAAAGAAGATAGACTTCAGGTGATGTTATTGATGAACGTGTCTAGACTGTGTACAACGCATCGAGGTGTGTGTCTCAATACAGGCTCGTAGGTTGCGGTAGGGAGTTGGTGGGTTAGCGGCCTCGCCAGTAAAAAGAAACACCTGAATGTCCCAGGGTCCGAGTTCGGGATGGGGTTCTTGTAGGGGGTTCAAATGCTAGTGCCCCCTAAGGACCCGATGACGTCGTTTCGGGGACTGTCGTAACCCCCGTCACCTTGACGGAGCGAAGCTCGATGGATTTCTGGAGCTCCAGCTTCGGATGATCATTCAACACGACCATCTTCCAATTCCATTCAGGACTCCAACTGCACGTTCAGCTTCTCGATCAGACGTCGAACTACACTTGCGCCATGGACGTAGGTATCCCGTCCCTCTCACGAAGCCCAACTAACCGTTCAGCCCGTATCATCCTACGCCTTCGGCAACCTGGGCTGGCTCAGCCTGCAAGCCTTGCCCCTCATAGTCTGGCCGAGCTTCATCACCTCCCTCCTCCGCGATGAATACCAACCAACAAGCGGTAAGTTTATGCCCTCTCTCTCCTTGCACGGCGCCCCCACTCCAGACACCCTGACACCAGCAGCCCTCGAAACCTACTTTGCCCGCTCCCTCGGCTTCGCCCTCCTGGCCCTGGGCCTGACCGTCCTCCTCCTTTCCGGCGCCCTGCCCCTCGCCGCGACCGACGCCTCCCACCCCGAGGGTACGGCCTCCCCATACGCCGACGCCGCTGTCTCCGTCTCGGCCTTGCACCATGCCACGAGCGCCTTCTACTGCTACAGCCGCTGGCTGCACACCGGCCAGACGGCGAGCGTCATGGGCTGCCTCGGTAGCGGGGTGTTCGCCGTTTTCGGGCTCTGGTTCGTCATGTTCGCGGGTAACAAGGGGCGTCACAGCAAGAGGACGGGATTCGACAAGGACACGAGCGGCTTCCCGTTCAAGAACAGCGAGGCGTACCGGAAGAAGAAGAAGGGCCTCTGAGGGCGCCCATTGGAACACGTACGGAACGGCAGAGTTGCGCCAAAAGTCATGAAATGATATACTGCTGATATTGCGTTATCCTCGTTGTGGAAACGGATAATTGACGCTCCCACTTGAATACCTCGTAAACACCGCCCCCCCCCCCCATCGTCGTTGCGACTAGTGTACAATATCTTGTTCTTCCAAATTGCGACCTCGAATCGGTACTTCTCTTGCGTCGCCTCCAACATAACATGTGTACATGGCATTGAGCCACAGTACAGATCGAGATGCCTCTTCTGAATACCAAGAGCGGGGCTCTCAGGTGGTGGCAAGTTGTAAAGAGCAGCGCTGTGATCCGTCGATTAAGCCTGTGAAACAACCTCGCTATTCTCGCCGTTGGCCAGGGCCGGCGCCTCCGACTTCTCGCGCGCATCGGGGACCTCGGTACCGTTCGCCAGCTCAGATGTCTCCTGGCTCTCGACAATGCCTGGCACCCGGACATCTGCCGCACCCGAAAGAACAGCCATGCGCCTGTCGTGCCAGTCGGCCTCGCTCTGAATGACTTGCGACAGAAGCACTTCCTTCTCTTGCCACTGCTTCTTGTATTCGATCTCGAGAGCCTTGATCTCCTCCTGAAGCTCCTTGGTTTCATCACTAGCCCACCTAACCTGGGCGCGGCAGAGTTTGTAGAGTTTGTCGAGGGGCATGTCGAGCTCCCTCCTCGTGAAGCCCTGGTCTTCGGTCAGAGCTGTGAAGAGGTCTGAGGAGAGCTCAGCATCGTCATCGCCGTTGATCGAGTCATCCTGGCCTGCCGCGTGGGATTGTGGCGTCTTGATAATGATCTTGAGCTTGCTCTTGCTCGCGGGACCGGACTGCATCGACTTGGGTACCGGGTCAGACGGTCGCAGCGCCTCGGTCTCGTGCACGGTGCGCATGTGCTTTGCCAGCGCGTCTGATCTCGTGAACGCCCTGTCGCATTCTTCCAACCGTCAGCATACAAGTTCCCTTCAGATTCAACTCGGAACTTTCGTACCTGGTAGATAGCAGTAGAACGGCTTCTCTCGCGTGTGGCTCCTCATGTGAGCCTTGAGCGCATACCCACTGGCATGTGCCATGCTCTTCCGGTTGCACCCATTCCATTCGCACGTGTATTTCTTCTGTCGGCTCTCGATGTGGTCGTTGTGGATATGCTCTACGAGCTTATCCATGTTGCCAAAGTCGCCGGCGCCGCAGCCGTCCCATGCGCAGTGTGTGATTTGTTCCTGGAAATCCTCTTCGTCGAGGCGCGCGTTGATGGGTGAGCTGGGGATGTCGCCTTCGGTATCCTCAGACACGTCGGACATGCCATCGAGAGGATCGGCTTCGGGTTCAGGTTCCGCTTCAGGTTCAACCTCTGCCTCTACCTCTGCCTCGACCTCGGGCTCGGGCTCAGCTTCAGGCTCGTGGTCTGGCTCATGAACAGCGGCGGACGACGTCGTCGAGCCCTCGCCAACCTTCTGCCTCTTTGTTGGCCGATAGGCGTCGTATGCTACAGGGGTCTCATTGTCGGAGCTGTCGCTGGAGGTCATTGAGGATAGAGGAGATTCGTAGGGGGACATGTTGCGCCCCAGTCGTTTGACCATGGTGATGCGCGGTCGTACGCGACCTTGGGCGAATGATGTGTTCGTCGAAGCTGGTTTAGACCCGAGGACGCTCTTCACGAATTCGCGAAAAGTCTTTGGTAGTCGCTGAGGATGCCTGCCGATGGAGTCGTAGTGTTTCGAGCTGCAATTGGTGATTGCTTGAAAGGGATGGGCAAAGAAGCTTTTGCGCGTGGGACAAGAAGTCACTTGCGTCCCGACTCGAGGCGCGGCAGCCGTTGCTCGCAAGGGGCGCTGGACTGCTTGCTGAATGAGCACGGTCCCACATTACAGGCAAACGGTGGCAGGCAATTGTGAGCCATCAGTTTATTACGCTCAGCCTGGTGCCCGTGCCCACTTCCTTTTCCTCCACGATCCCGCATCTCACCTTATCCCGACTTCAGGCTCTCCCGTCTTAGGGTCGAGACTCTTGACTCAAGGGCGAGAGTCCAGTGACGACCGTGAACCTTTGAACAAGACGCCGTCATTTGAATATTGTCACTCTCAATGAGCGGCGCCTTGTATTTTTTTGTTGCATCTGACCAAGCTGATTTGGGGGGGATGTAGACCCAACCCAAGGGGTGTCAGTTTCCCACCTCTACTTCATCATATTCCTCTCGTCCCAATCCCAAGCCCTCAGATATTGTGCATATTGACCTCATTCAACATCATTTGCTCTCATATTATAGTCCGAAAGACTAGCGAACATGTCACGCCTTGATGGTTGTGTAGGCATGAACAGGACAAGTGTTCTCACGGGCTTCAGTCCGTGATTGGGTCAGAAATACACTCTTCTCTGAAGGGTGCATGTGCAGGACAAGCTTGCGGACCTGTAAGGGTAAATTTGCCGAACACGGACGGGCTCTATCCCAAGTTCGGTCGATGGGCTTGGGTCGCAACGCCGCTTGTGTTCAGCTCCAGGCAGACGATGGGTGTCTTGTCAGCGCGGGCATCAGCATGGAAGCCGTTGAATGTCAACGGCGCGAGCCGTGAAGATATTTGATTGGCACATTCTCCGCAAAACTGCCTCTTTCGAATAGTCATGCCAATGAATTTCTTTGCGAGCCGCCGATATTAGCTGAACCGACATCATGACAACCCCCTCGGAATCTAGGACATGGGTCTTCTCACAACGAGGACTCCCCTGGGACGTTCTCTCTCTCACATCTTTGCCTATACCGACTCTCCCACCACCACTTCCACTTCCTAGCGACGTTCCCAAGCCCGAGGAATGGATTGTCGTCAAGGTCGCCTTCGTCGGCTTGAATCCAGGCGCCATATTCCAGATGACTCTCGTCCCGCCCCTGATCCGCCAGAAGACATGCGTTCCCGATATGGACTTTTCTGGCACCGTCGTCGACGCTTGGCATCCGGACTCGGCCAGCTCCACATCCTCCGGCGTCGCCGGACAGAGCCCGGAACATGGCGCCCGGTTCCGGAAGTGCGACAAGGTCGTTGTGATGCTCCCAGCGAGCCACACCCTGCCTACGGGTACTGGCGCGTTGGCCGAGTATGTCCGGGTGCCTGCGCGCTACGCTGTGCGCAAGCCTGAGAACACCAGCTTCGGAGACGCGGCGGGATGCATGCTGCCGGCGCTCACGGCGCGCCAGATGGTGCAGGAGTCGGGAGCCAAGGCTGGAGATCGGGTACTGGTGAATGCAGCGAGCGGTGGTATCGGGACAATGGTAACTCAAATGGTGCGAACCATTGTCGGAAGTGGGGGCTACGTAGTTGGTATATGCAGCGAGAAGAACGTGGGCATGGTCAAGAGCCTGGGAGCTGATGAGGTACATCCATGACTACGGGTGTTGCAAACGCGACCCAGACTTCAAAAGACGAGAACTGACGCTGTTTTCCAGGTCATTGATTATACGCAGCACGCCGATAGCCTGCCTCAGTACCTGGCCACTTGCTTCTCTTCTAATCCGTTCGACACGATCATCGACACTAGGGGCCATCAATCTCTTTATCTCGCCTCTCCGAGTTATCTGGTTCCCAGCGGAGTCTACTCGTCAGTCGGTATCAAGCCGCCCACATTCTTTGTGCCTGACTTTCTACGCTCCGTTTTGCAAATGAAGCTCAATGAGTGGTGGCCTGTGTCGCGTTGGCTCGGCGGTGCTGGACGCCTCTGGCGTGGCGTCAGCATGATGAATCCCACGTTGGAGGACCGGCAGAGCGTTGTTGACATGCTCGAGAGGGGGGACATCAGACTTGTGCGAGACAGTGTCTGGGGGTTTGAGCAGGCAAAAGAGGCGTATGCGAAGCTGGGAGGCCTACATGCCGCAGGCAAGGTGCTTGTCAGGGTGGGTGCTGGCGTTGGCGACGACGAATGTTGATCCCTGGCTTGACAGTGGCCTGGAATTCATCAGGAGAAGATGTACGATCTGGATTGGCATTTTATCACACTCTGCTCTTGCGCCGTAAAGAATGCTTAGGGTGTTAGGGCTATATGCTCTGATCACAAATACTATTGAACCAAGGGGTCTGAGGGATAGCTTGGCTTGTTGGTATTGAAAGGGTTGTCTTTATTACCACAAGTTCTGTTCCTTGCGATGCCGTAAAGTCAACGGAATGGAAGCGGGTTCGTGAATCAAATGCCTGACCGTGAAAAACCAATCAATAGAATTGGATCATTATACGTAAGAAAGAGCATGCATGAGAAGCCAAGTGGAAGAGTTGCTAACACTGTAAGCGAAGCACTATACAGCCCTGGGCAGAGTTGCTACAGTAGTCGACACAGTAGACCTGAAGCTACCAGAACGGGCCAGGTGACTCAGCTGAGAACAGCTGTGGCCAGCTATCCAGACGGGACCGCAAAAACGGCCTTGCCCAAAGGAGCATAGGCAAACCCACCCGTCTGTTACGGACCATCCCTTTTTTTGACCTGCATGCCCATGCCGTTTGTTGATGTTGCCCCTCCCCCACTACCAAAACACCACGAGCCCTTGACTCGCCTCACTCCCACACCGCATACATAGTACTCGTCTGCATCTAGCCGTGCCTGGCATCAACAGACAACTCGACTGCTTTTCCTTCTGCACGATTGTACAGCTACCCCGCACCACCATGGCTACCACGCTCAAGCTGTTCTCCCTCGAGGGCAAGGGCCTCAAGCTCGACACAGCCGAAGACCTGGAGGCTCACATCGCCGACCTGCGTGCCAACGATGTCGAGGAGGTCAAGGTGCTTGGCAACACATTCGGTATCGGTGCTTGCAAGCTTCTCGGTGAAGTTTTGGCCGAGAAGAAGAACCTCCAGGTAAGACAGAAACCCTCCTCTCCCCCCTCTCGCCACCAGCAAGAGGCGCAACAAGAGCTGATATGTGTGGCTTCTTCCAGTCCGCCGACCTGTCCGACATGTTCACGGGACGCCTCCTGAGCGAGATTCCCGAAGCCCTGTCCTCCCTCCTGACGTCGATCACGAACCTCCCGAACCTCCGCACGATTAACCTCAACGACAACGCCTTTGGCCTCAACACACAGGCACCCCTCGTCGCCTTCCTCGCGGCCCACGTCCCTCTCCAGCACCTCTACCTCAACAACAACGGCCTGGGTCCGCACTGCGGCATCCTCGTCGCCGATGCCCTGTCCGAGCTGCACGAA